GTTAAAAATAATGTGCATAAGATGTACATTAAAACTATAGGTTATACGAGAGAAATGCTATAGAATATGATTCTATTTATGTGATAAATAATTAAGTGTTAATTATTTGATATATATATATGTTAATTAATTATTCATTATATTAATAATTAATTAATATTTATTAATTAATATGATTAATGGATTAATTATTATTATTATATATATATTATAAATATATTATATATATATATATTATTAATATATTATATATATATTATTAATATTTATATTTATATTAATATTAAACTCCCCTGCAAAATTGTAGGAGAGTGGGAAGTTGGTATGACGTGGGGAGTTACCCCACGTCATTCTTTTTTTTCTTTGTCAAATGGGTTGCAGAAAGATTCTGCAATTTTTATAGAACGAAAAAGAAAGAACTCCCATTTGAATCTCTCTCAAGCTCTCTCAATACTCCCTCTCATTCCAAACGAGGTGCTCCCACAAGCACAGTCTCGAGACCAAAGAGGATAGCGAGGAAGACACGGTGGTGGTGTTCGGGTCGAAACCATTGAAGAAACGTTCTTCAAAGGTAAAGTGTTCCCCTATATTTTCATCTTGAATTTTTTGAGTTTGTTTCCCAAATTTCACGAACAATGGTCCGCTTCCGCTCCGGGATTCATATCCCTTCAATTGGTATCAGAGCCAAGTTTTTGTTTTGATTTTTTGGGAGTAAATCGGTGTTTTTGGTGGGTTTTTTCATATTTTCGAAATATGGGTTTACGGGTTGGAAAATTTACGGTTTTTGGCATTTAGATAGCGTTTTTCTTCTTAATTTGATCATGTAAGGGCCCGTTGGTTTGGGCATATTGTTTCTGCATTTAATCTATAAGTCCGGGTCGCTCGAAAGTTGTTCGTGGCATCGGATTTGGTGAAAAATTGCAGAAAACAGCGCAGAAGACGAAGCAGACTGCACAGACAGCGCCGTGGCGCTATGCAGCAGCGCCAAGCGCTGTAGGGACATCACTTACTGCACGGCTCTGTACTATAGCGCCGCGGTGGTGCCCTTAGGCGTCGAAGCGCTGTCCCGATGTTTTTTGGCACGTTTCCGTGGTTCCTGTTCGCGGTTCGAGGGCGGTTGCAGTCGTTTCTCTTTTTTGTATTATTTTGCTTTCTTAGGGTGCCAAAAACCATTCCACACTTGCTATTTAATTAATTTATGCATTATGAATGTATATTTTAATTAAAATCATATTGCATATTGTATACCATATAGTTTTAAAATCCCACCATAGGTTATATGCATAATATGTATGTTTGATATATAGTATGTATGTATGGTCATGCATCATATAGTTATAAATCGTATAATGTATGAATGCATGTTTTATTTTCATAATTAATATAAGTGTTGTATTAATTAGATGAAAATAAAGTTGCATTGAGCATGACATTACTTTGGTTAATATAATTGTTATATTAATGTATGCTTACAATGCATGATTATAATTTTAATTTCTTAAATTTTATAAGAGTTATAAAATGTGGTAGAAAGAAATTAAAATCTATAATAAAGAATTGCATGCAAACATAGGGTTTAAGTTCATTAATTTTAAAGGGGTTTAAAATTAATTAGACCTTAGGTTATATCTTCTAATATGATTAAGGGGTAGTCTTTTATTTTATTTTAACTAGGTTTAAAATAAAATGATAAAAGACTAAATATAAAATATTGTCTATAAGGGAACCCTGTATAAGGAAGGTTCTGTCTAGGTTACCTGACCGTAAGGGAACACCTCTACCTGGGAATGACCTGAGGGTTGAATTAGTCAATATTTTATGTACATGCAATAATGTCGTTGGTTTATTAAAGTGTTTAATGAACTAAAACATTATTGTACAACTACCAATATAATAGTTATATTGGGCCGACTAAAAAATCACTTAATTATTTTCACTTAGCCGGGATTTATCTAAGTAATATACCCTAGTCTTAGAATACTAATTGGAGCTAAAGAGAATATGTAATATACAACGTATATATTTGATATACAAAGTATATATAACATACTTTTCTCTCTCTATCACGTTCTCCTTTATTCACACTGTGAGTTCCATGTTCGGCCTGGTGTCGCCCTGAGCGCGGCCTCCCTACGGAAGGTGTTTGCATGGTTCAATATCGAAGTGAATGAAGATAGTATTCATAGTAAGTGGGAGAAGGACGTGTGACAACACATCCTGCAGTCTCTGTCATTGGTTTGCACCGTGAGGTTTCATACATAACCTGTGTGTCATCCTGAAGCGACCATCCCTATGGAGGGTTCATTGTATGGAATCAAAACCAAGGCAAACTCCATAAATGGATAATGGTCTCTTAGGTTTTGCTCCAATATTTTCCTTCCCTACGGCGGGAATATTGGGGTGGATCTATGAGGTCCGAAAATGACGGGTCACACTTACGGGGAGTTGTTAAGTTAGTTAGCAATTTCCAGACAAAATAAACAATGACTAATATTTATAGGAATAAGAGTTATTCTAGTGTAAAATTTAGTTGAGAAAGTCTCAGTGAAGGAGTACCTATCTACCCTACGATAGCTGTTACTCT